TTTACACTCAAGAATAGCTCTTGGCTCTGCATCACTCAGAACTTCTCTACATGGAAAGACCACTATATTTCACAAAGGTAAAAGAAGGACTTCAGGCTGCAGAGCTTAAGTGAAGGGTCAGGAGCATCTGTTATTATGTGAAATGTTTCAAGTTTCAGTTTTAAGTTTTATTTGTCATATATGGATAACATCACTACATTGCAGTGGACCAGGGCTTGCATGCAGCCCAGGTATAGAGTAGGTCTGTACCGGAGAAGGAAGGTGTTGGTGCTCAGCAGCTGGCTGGGCTGGGGAAGCCTCATGGAACCTCCTCCTTGGGGCTGGAATTAGTTGACTTGCTGCCGCGTGCCAGCTGCACTGCCAAGTGATCTTCTGACTGGGTTACAGCAATCTCGAGGGCCTAGCGGCCAGGAGGGCGGGATTGGTCTGCTATCACCGGCTGGCCATCCACTCAACAAACCTTTCTTGTACTACCACGTCCAGCAGTCACACCTCTCCTGGTGTGGGGCCTGGCTCCACCCACCTGCCCACAACATCATGCAGCCCCTAGCGAGGGGCATGTCTCCCGGAAGCGGCGACGATGGCCCTCCGGGGAGAGATCCAGTCAGCCCAAGATTGCCTGCCAAATATCTTCAAACGAGGCCCTAACCATGACAGGGAGGCTAAGAGCGGCCACCTGGACCTCCCCCAACAGCAGTGTCAAGGCCCATTCCTTGCCCAGTTATGGGCACACCTCTCAACTAAAGCCTCTGAATCATCGCTTTCTTCTATTTGGTGGAGCACCACTGGCAGGAGCCAGAGTGACCAAAAAGGTTTGATGAAACCGTTTGCATCTGCCTGAACCTGCAGTTTCTTTAGCTGTTCACTATGCACAGCCGCCTGCTTCTGGTGCATCACCGCCAAATCTTCCACCATCTGCATTTCAGCTGCCCTCTTCAGCTCGCACGCACCACACAGCTTCCTCCTCTGGGCACTGTCAGCTACTGAAATAGGGAACCCAACCCCTCCCCTGTAGCTGAGCCACAAAACACCCCGCCACACTGCCTCTGGGACCTCGCCCCAGGTAATGCTTGAGTCCCCCCCCTCGTCCCAAGTCTTTGCTTCCTCCCTCTGTCAGTGGGATTAAAGAGGTCCTCAAAGTGTTCCTTCCACAGTATCCTCAGTTGAAGTCAGCGACACTCCACTTGCACTGTACACATTGTTGGTAGAGCAACTCTTTAACCTTCTGAGCTGTGTTCTGCTTGGCCTGCTGGTGCCTATCAGCTGCCTCTGAAGTCCTACAGGCTAACCAAGCCT